TCCCCACCTTGCTCTTCTTGATGAGTTGAATAAGTGCGGCACTTCAAGTTGTCCGACAACGGAGGCTCCGTTGTCTCCTCTAAATATGCCGTCCACCTCGTCCATAATCAATCACGGCTTCCCGAGTCATATCGATTTACATTCGATCCTATTATTCCCACTCAGTGGGACCCACTGGCCAAGTGAGTAGTTCTGTCCGATATCCGCATTGGTTGCCGAACCGATACCAGATTGTGTGACACAGAGGACATGCAATGAGTCCGTGGGCGTGACACGGAACACGCGCAATGTGTTGTGGGGCCAGTTTGCCTACAATCTTGCTATAATGCTGATCTTCCCACCGCTAGTGTTGTCCCTTCCCATCCCGAAGGGTATTGCTATCCCCTGAGAGGTTGCACTATGGAGAAAACCTTCGCCATCCCCTTATAGCGAGTGAACCCAATATCGATTACTATGCTTCTCACAGTGTATAATATACACTGTATATGCGTGCAGAGGTCAAGCGCATTCGTGTGGAAGATTCGTGCGGGTAGTGCGCTTATTGTTAGTGTGCTAGGGTCGCAGTATTGGTTGCTCTAGCTCGAGTTCCCTTATTGTGTTCTTCTCAGGGTTCATCAACTGATACCGCGACAAATGATTCCACATGACTCGTGTGGAATCATTACGTGATAATCAGTATGTTCTTCTCCAAAGCTTAGCTGGAACCATGGCCGTTACCAGGGAAATTGGTACAATGGGGCATGGGATCGGCGGCCAGGGTGGCTGAAACCAGATCCCGCGACAGCGGGAAATATCTCATTTGAAATATTACTGAAATTTCATGAAATTTTATGAAAAATTTGACATATTTCTCATTTTATTCACAACTGCGTTTTGAGTGACTTTCAATCGTCTCCATCAACTCCGTCTATGACAGCAACTGTCTGGGAGACTTCGAGAAGCTGAGGATCATTATTATAGCGCATGAATCATATTATGATCATCGTAAAATGCAGGCCTTTCACAAAATTTAGGAATGTCGACTGGTAATTGACGGTGGAAATCCACGATCACCGTCAAGCGCGGGACAGTTCCACTGGGACTGTCACCACAGCAGTGTCTTCAATAGAGCTTGACGACGATTCGATTCGCGGAGAGCCGTCCGTCGAAGTCACTTAACAGACTGAGATCAGAGGGAAAGACGAATTACGAGCAAACTCAGCCCGGATAGTGGAAACACTTTCATATGTTTTGGAAATTTGGCGAGTTCGGCCGCACCGGCAGAGGCCATGCAAACGCAAAAGTGAGTCAACGCGCAGAGAGAAAACATGACTATGATGAATTGATAATCCCCTCATCCCCTCTCCAATGTTGGGACTCCTAGAGCCGAGCACTCAATACTTGTGTCTAGAGCCAACATTGGATGGGGGTAAGGGGGGCGCGCGCGGCTGAGTCATATTTTTGCGACTGACTGCAGTAGAACGTTTCCGGCTGGAAGCGCAAAGCGATTTCCGTCTCTCGCTCAGGCCGGGGACTTTCCAATCGAGAGATGACATACTATCTGACAGCGTCTCAGAAAGAAAGCATTATAGAGAACAGCCGATCCGGTCTTTCTTCGCGCCAGATAGCTGGAAGGGTGGGATGCAGCCAGTCATCAGTCGCTAGGATCGTTCGACAAAGTGCAGTGCAGAAGGAGCATAAAACGGCGGAGTTCAACCAAGGACGGCCCCCGCTCATCGACAGTCGAAGGCGTCGCATCATTCTGAGGGATTTTAGCTCCGCTAGAAAGGCTAAACCATTTCTCACGGCGAAGGCCTTCTATTTATCTCGAAAATTCGCCTTTTTTACGATACATTCCTTCGAGTGATCCGCGACGAGGGGTGGCGATGTCGTCGTACTACGCGGCGGGTTCTGCAGCGTCGAGGTGATCGTCAGAAAAGAATTTCTTGGGCCTCGGCAATAAAGAAGGCATGCCAGGGTGATAAGAATAATAGTGATATCGAATCGGGCTGTACATGGATGGGGTGACGATAGGATTTGATGCAGAGGCTTTTCGAGCTGATGCTACGGAGAGGATATGGGACAATGCCAGCTATGTAACGCCAACTCGCAGTGCTTTCAGATTGAGTAAGGAAATTAAATTTGTCGGGGTTTTGGCATGGGGTGAGCGTCCAATAATCACGCCAATAGAGAGTAACTCGGCCAAGTCGTACGAGTCCGTT